TCTTTCTTTCTTTCTTTCTTTCTTTCTTTCTTTCTTTCTTTCTTTCTTCCTTTCTTTTTTGCATAGCATTATTCTAAAAAATTTGTTCCCTGCAAACTCGGGGGATTTGTATTATTATAACCCCTCTGGAATTGAAAAATTAAATTACATTTTGGAGTTGCTTAAATGATTAAGATGACATGACTGGAGGTTTACAATTTAAAAACAAAAAAGAGCAACAGCAAATTAGCAAAACACTCAGAGAACCAAAGAAAGTCAAGGAAGAGGAATGTCTCTCCTTCCTCTTCCTCTTCCTCATTGCACAGCTCTAAGCAACAATCTATGCAAGCTAGGAGAGAGAACAGCTAAGGAAACAGCAATGCTAACAGATAAATTTTCATCTCTGCAGATCTCCTGTCATAGGCATCTCATGACTATAACTTCCTTTTGTCTGAATTGTAGAGTGAATATAGCAAGAATCCTTTCAAGATGGTAACTGAACAAATACCATGCTAAGTAATAATTGTGCAAAACATGTCAATAATTAGATGAGACTTTCTCTAGACTAAAGAATCCCCTCTCCCCCCAAAAAAGCTGGCGTTCCAGAAAAAAAAGGTAGCACAGACTTCATGACATTTTATTTCTCTCAGGAAATCTTTGGTTAACCTATAATTAACTTATGAGTGTTCTTTTACTTTTCTTCACAGTACCTATTGTAATTCATCTAATTTATTTAGCTGAGAAAATCAATGTCTCTTTTTAACTCTCTAATTCAGTTACTTTGCACATTCAATCCCATTTCTTTCTTTAAAAATAGGCAGTGAGAATATCAAGAGGTGGATTAAGTAACATCTTCTCTCTTAGTGGTCAGTTTTTACAGAGTCCACCAACAAGACATAATAGGAGTAGCAATTTCCTGATGTGCCTCATAGACATGGGACTTCTGAACGTGGAGAACTCTACAACCCTTATGACTAATGGCTCTTGAGAGTGGTTTTTGATGCATTTGCCTTCCCAATGTTTAAAAACACTTAAACCAATAGTCTTCACTACATCTTATACCATGTATTTTATTAAAAAAAACCATGCCTGACGATGAAAAGAGACTTACCAACAAACCCATCCTTGCCAACGACTTTCAGGGCAATCTTGTCTGCCAGGACCGATGAGTTCCCATGAGCAATGTTAGCAAATGGACCAGCATGGACAAACACTGGATTACCCTGACAGATATGAATAGAAACAGAGGGAAGAAAAAGGAGGGAGGGAGGGAGGGAGGGAGGGAAGGAAGGAAGGAAGGAAGGAAGGAAGGAAGGAAGGAAGGAAGGAAGGAAGGAAGGAAGGAAAATTAGCATCTTGTCATCTAAACCACACCAAACCAACTTCCAGTATTTAGGACATATTCCTGCACTCAGTAAAAGTTACTCGTATAGATAAGCATACATAGGACTGTAAAATTTTACAGCCTCTGGAAGACAAAAAAAAAAGCATCACTAGGAAAGTAATCTAACATCATGAGTAGTATAAGTGGACATTGTAGCAAAATACAGTACATTCAGTCTAGGGGAATCTTCTCCAACTTTTCTGGTCAAACTCAAACAAGCATGGGGGAAGGAGTCTTCAGGAACGCTCCAAAAGCCATCTACTTTGGAAGTCTATAAACTCCCTGCATTTATATGGTCTTCCTTTTTTAAAAAAAAGAGACCAGTGGTATCTGAAATAAAGTGTTGAAGAATATCTGAATTTTGCTTTTAGCTAAAACTCTGCAAGGCAAACCAGAACATATACAAAAAGTAATCACCCGACATACATCATAAGACCCAATCATATGCACCAACACTGAAAAGGAATAGGCAGGTCTTGCTCGCTCAGTTTCTTTTTAATACATGTGTCACTCATCCAAAATATTAAAAAGTGGACAGGAAGAAACACAGAGGAGGGAGGGTAGGACAGAAGAAACAATAATACTATTTTTGTAATGGAAAAGGGATGAAATGTGGTGTTAGGGTTGTGCCATAATGTTAGAGGAGTGGGTGAAAGAACAAGGGCAAAAGCTTTATGAGTAGAAATTCATTGACAAGCAAAAGATGTTGGTGCATGCATGTACGTTTTTGGTTTATTGGTGCAAGAGATAGAAAACACTGATACCCGAAATTAGGAGGAGATGCAAAAAGCTGCAGAAAGTCTAATAAAAGTGGGAAAAATCCCTGACTGCACTGCCATGGAAAACAAGTAGTCTGTTTGGCATACAAAGACAACAACTTTGTGAAAGAACTTGTAAGTCAGGGGGGAAAAAACCCAAAGCTGTGCAAGAAAATGGCCTGTGAATTTTGTAGGCTTGAGGAAAAAAAGGCTCATTTTATGTATTAGCCCCTCAAATAAATGCTTCCCAATGTAGCTTGCGCAAAAGAAAGAAAACAGCTAAAAGATGGTGAATAAGCAGAATGGCGTAATTATGAGAGAAGCTAATAAAGGAACATAAAAACCGTGCTGCAGGGCAAGAGTAACACCAATCCTAGTTCACACTTTTGTTTCTCAAAAAGGCAAACCAAATGTCTCAGGTGTGCTGAGAAGTAGAAGATGCAGGAAAAGTTTTTCATCTCATTTCTCCTCTGCAATTGGTATTTGGAGGCACGCAGGCCCCTATCCAGAGATAACACTAAACTTCAAGACAAACAAGCTTTGGAAAGCCCACCCTCCATAAATTTATCTAATCCCTTTTAAAGCCAGTCAAGTAATCAGTGATAATGAATTCCACAGAGGATGGCAATGTAGGAGGAGTAGAGAAGAAACAGGACTGAGCAGCCAATTGTATGAGATATGGAAGATTTTGTTAGAAAGAAATCCCAAAAAAATATTGGCCGATACATAGACCTCTTTTACTCTTAAATTACAAAGAAAACTCCAAAAGGAAGGCCACAAGACACAAATCATCATCCCCTATGCTACACAGAATCCCAGAAGTTGATAAAGCTGGCATTATAAATAAACCAATGATTTAATCCAAAATTCTAACAAGCATTACAATAAATTCTCAAAAGTTCTCAAATCTCAAGAGAACACTGCATCTTATAAACTTTTCATGTCTCAAAAACCTACAAGATGCTCACATCTGAAATTTGGAGGAAGAATTATGTGAAATGTCGCAACCTTAACAGGTTTTTTTTAAAAAAAATTAAATGCATTTTTGTAAAAAAGCTAAAAGCCTATTTAATTTCCAAATGAATTATTCAACTTTACTTTACATTTACTTCTGGGAACCTATGGATAGAGCTGGGGATGTTTTATGTGTCATACTTCCTACAGATATCATATTGTTGTCCTCCCTTTTATCTGATAATCAGCAGAAACATCTAATGACAATGGTGATGGTGCAATAATCCATGTAAACCACTGGACTCTACTGTATTTTAATGTATGCCCCTATTTTCAATTAAAAAAAAACACCTGCGCAAACTATACTTACTTCCAAAGTCTGCATGAGATTGGGCTTAATAGCATCTTTCATCAAAACTGCCAAGGCACCACTCACTCCCTAAGGAAATAAGTAGGAAAAATTATTTAAGTAGCAGTTCTTGCACATTTTTTAGGTTTATGGCATTTCAAGCTAATAAACCTACTCTTTATAATCATGACAAACCATTTTCTCAATTTTTTGTATAAAAGTAGTTCATGAAAGGCAAATTCAGCTGGCTATGTTTAAGCTTTACTTAGAATCTAGTTTGCTCCATGCTTTCAAAATTTACTGCCAGAAATTTGGAGGAAGGTAAATTTTAGTGTCTCAATTTTCAAGATCAATATTTAAAATTATTTACTAGATACACATTTAGAAATCCTGAATCGGACAAGGACCATTGAACCTAGCTTTGCAGGCATCCCAGCAATCAACATACACTGCTTGATATGACTGAAGCTGGCTACTTGTCATAGTTAAAGCACATATAATCTCAGAAATGAATGAATTGATTCTTCCAGAGTTGCATTTTCTTCCAAACAGAATCATGTTCAGTTACCAGATCTTCTGTGGTGATTGGAACTCCTTTTTTGCTGGAGGCGACCACCATTTTGCCCAGGCGTTCTCTCATATCCTCCAGGCTGTTTGTGAGTGCTAAAACTGCCATGATCTCACTAGCTACTGTAATGTCAAACTGGGCCTGCAAGGAAGGCAAAAAGCAAACAAGGTCAAAAATAGACATAACTGAACACAGCTGGAGCATTGGATTTAAAAAGACATAGACAGGACATAACACCTATAATTATGGAATCACAATCATCTAGAAGCAGAATCAGTTCTAAGCATCTGTGGTAGCCTTTTCCAAATTCGGTGCTATCTGGCTGTTCAGAAGTACACTTCCTGGATCTCCTAATTAACAGTCACTGATCATGTGAAAAGCACCAGGGGGATGGCAGCCTTTTGAGCAATGACAGTTTAGGGCATTTCAAGAATGGTGTCATTCTGTACATGAAAGAGGGCTAAAACTCAAAGAGAAAATCTCAAATATGCCAAGTTTCTTCACACAAGCGCTATCATTGGTAGTAGAAGCCCTAAAATGAAGGCAATATGGGGATGGGTACATCTGGAACAGAGGGAAAGATGCACAAACCCTTAGCTCAAAATCAGTCCTCGGCTGGGATAAAAATACCTGCTATTCTAAAAGAATCTGAGTGAAAGAGAAAGGACACTTACTGTGCGTGTGTATCCCTTCTCAGATGGAGACTGCCCAATTGTAACGGTTCGCAGAAACCTGTCATTTGTATCCAGTACTATATAAAAGAAGGTGAGAAGACAAAAGGCTGACATGTGGAACTTAGCAACTTTTTATACATGTACTTTTTAAACTATTAATACCATCAAAGTTATCTCATTAGAATAAAGGCTATGAGAAATAAATTGCTAACATGGCAACCCACACTTTTTTTAAAAAAATTACCTCTTTATTATATTGATGTCTGGCCAATTCTTCAAGGGTTTAGGGTGACTTCCCTTGACATCTCCCTTGATTTTAACCCCCAAGTAGCAACTTGTGAAGTTGGTTGGGCTACGGAAGAGTCACTCGGTGAACTTCCATGACTGAGGGTAGACTTAAACTTAGACTTCCAATCATAGGCCAACACTTTGAGCAACAAACCACACTATTATTCATATTTTAAATATATATGTGGTTTTATATACTGTTATTTCAAGTCACCCAGATACAGAAGAAAATCTCAAAATAAGGCAATGGGAAACAGAATTTGCATAATATAAGTCAATCTTCATCAGCCTATACCCTTCATGTATGCTGAACTTTAAAAGCCATCATCTCCTAATAGCCAGGAGTGATGAAAACTGAAGTTCAGCATGCACAATTGCAGAAGGATGATCTATACTTTTCAATGGTATTTTCAGTACCATTGAAAGATGTGTGAAAGATAAAACTGGTCAATAGCCTTCTGCAATTTGCTCTTTTCCATTTGCATTGATTGTTTTATTTGACAGCAGGAATTCCATAGGAAGAAAAAAAATACATAGCTATTTTTGATTAAGCAATTTTCATACCAAGAAAATAGGCATAAAGTATTGTCTGTGTATAAACTTTATATGGAATACTAGTCATAGAATAAAACAAAACAAAAAAAATCCAAATTCAGTCTTTTGAGATTATGTTTCATATCTCATTCACTAGGAAATTGTATGCAATTAAATTCCCTTTAAAATATTGGGAAAAAGTAAGCTAATGTGAGATTGAGAGCAAGTATGGAAAAAGCTATAATCTGTTCTCAGCATGATGCTGATTAATAGGTCCAATTTTAAAAAAGTTTCATTGAACTGAAGAATGTCATGCAGTTTTTGATGGATGTATTGACACTATAAGGATTAAATTATTACCGGGCATCTTTGCATTGTTAACTTCTACAGAGAACTGCTTACATTATTTCTTCACAGACTATTCCTAGCATTCCTCCAAATGCTTTGGAATAATAGCATTCTGTTATTCTGCTATTTATTAAGGAAGCTCAACCTTTTCAATATCCCAGAACTTGAAAGAAGGTGCCAATGCTTTGGAATCACACTAGGTTTAATGAGTAGATTCATTAATGTAATGTTTCTCAACCATGACAACTTTAAGATGTATGGATTTCAACTCCCAGAATTCTCCAGTCAGCCATGAAAACCTACCATAAAGCATCATCATCATATTACCACCATCATCATTATTTTTTCATGCTCACAGAACCAAACCAAACGAAACCAAAACACCACACCACCTTGGGTTTCCTTAATGAATAGAAGACAACTATTTCACTCCCATAAGTGCAAAGCTCTACTAATTAAGACCAAGCTAATAAGAGTTTAATTACAAGATTCATCAAGAGCTATAAATTTGGCATAAAAACTACACAGGTTAAGAGACCTGTCCAGTCTACCTTTCATCTATTTTGTTTCCTGACATTCAAGTCAACTTTTAGCAACAAAATTCACAAAGAACATGATTTTAATTCTCTAATACATTGATCTGTGAAACAACAACCTACATTGACTCAAAAGTGGCATTGCTTACTGTGACCCAACCAGAAGGCAGCATGCTGAAAGTCACCTCAAACTATGTCAAGTCCTCTAGCAATTCCACAGGAATGCAAGACTGGGGAATAAGAGAAGGAGCTCATGTAAAGAGACCATAGCAACCTCCTCTCCTCTGCTGCAGAGGAAGCAATTAATTGGATCAAATTTGCATAACTCCAATAGAAGAGAATATATATAGTTCAGGATTGAACTGTGGAGTTCTTGGTGCTCTCTGAGCTTGGCTGTTTGCTTGCAAATGTTTTATTTCTCAACTAGTTAACATCAGCAGTGCAGCACTGATGATGTTACCTAGTTAGGTAATGAAACATCTGCAAATAAACACCCCAGCTCATGGAGCACCAAGACCTCTATCTGCATAATTTTCTACACCTTGTAGAATTGCACAACAATACCAGAATTCTGGTCAGGGAAGGTGAACTTTAGTGAGAATGACTGTCAAAGCTAATTTTACATTCCAAAAAGAGCTCCATGAAGACTCAACATGTTCTGAGAACAAAGAGTGCACACAGTTTGAGGATCTGTACAGGAATACACCAAACAGTACCATTCTGCTGTAATGTTCAAATTATGAGAAAGTCTATAAATGAATTATCTGATGATTAATAAGTTAAGAAATTGATTTATTATGAATATTTAAATTTTTTAATTTATCTGATAATGAAAGCTGTCCAAGCAGTTACATATATAAGTAAAAATAAAATAACTAACTCCCTTAGTTATATGCTTTGAGAAGATAGTTGTCAAAAGAAAAAGGGAGAATCATTTTGACCACAAATCCAAATGGCCAATGCATAATTCACACCAAGTGAAAATTTAGGGAATTACTCTAACAACAGAATAGATCAAACAATGAACTCATAAGAGGAGGATAACAAAATGAAGGAAAAGAGGCAACTAAATGCATAACTTCTGTTTCTATGCTGGAATATTCAGCACAGTCTTAGGCTTCTTTCAAAAGCAAATTCTAACTGCATTATGTTAAATGCAAATCTTCCCACTAATGCATAAAAAAACAGGATTTCCTGCCTGAAAGAGATAAATGACACTGACAGATCACCTATGGGGTAGGAAACAATGACTAAAGTCTTCTACCCTGAAGAAAGAAATCCCTTCTGCTGGCAATCCAGTTGCAAAAGCTTTCTCCAGGGTGAACACAGCACCTGCCTCTTAATTATTAAAATTGTCCAAAACTAAATGTATCTTTAAAATTAAGAGTGAAGGACTCAGCAGGTATTTTATACTTTGTTTAGATTTTAATCTCCATCCCCATAGACAGAGTCATATTTCTTCCAAACAGCTTTTCTCCTTTCCTTCTGGAGGTTACTTGTGCTGCAATACCTCGTTGCCATGTTATGCTATCTGGATCGATATCCAATCTCACAAATTTGCTTATTTCATCGTTTGTCAAAGTTGCTGGGTCCGTTTTCATAATATGTAATCTCTGAGGAAGAAAATTAGTGAGAGAGAAAGAGAAAGACATTGACATGTTACAGGAAGCTAGTCTTTAAGCAAAGTAATTAAAAAACCCTTTTTTTTTGCAAGTAACATAAGGGGATGCAGCTGAAATGCAAAAATCTATCTGGAAGTCTTAAAAGTAGAATTCAATAATTGCCTTTAGTTCAATTATTCACTAAAACCAGCAACAATTTTAAGAAAACAGCATTACCATCAAGAGATCAATGAGGAGAATTCTTAATTTTTATTTTGCTCCTTCAGTATCAGCAAAATACATAGGCAGAGAAAACCTACCCTCCCCTAAAATTCTTTTGATGAATGCAGGTGTTTCCCACTGTCTATAACACAGTGCAAAGGTAAAAGAAGAAAAGCTGCAACATTGGAATACCCAAAAGGCTTGGTTATGGCCTGCATAGAACCTTCAAAATTGTTACCAAATTGTAGCTTTTAATGAGAGAAAGGGGGAAAAGAATGAAATAGATGATTGAAATGTAATTGCATTAACTATATTTATTTTAATAAAATGTAAACTAAATTAAATCAGCTTTACTTTTTATCCTGCCCATCAATTATGTTTTATCAAACTATGCTCAGCATGCCATTTAAAGGCCAAATGCACTCTTAGTTTAGGAAAGGATGTGTATCTCTGGGTAAAGCATCCAGAAAAGGTCATGGTTGTATCTATAAATCTATCACATCTGATTTAGATCATGCCATATTCAAGCCCAGAGGCATTACCCATCATACTAGGTGGGTACTGGTAGCAATCTTGGGCCACTTATGTTGGGCAACTGGAATGGGGAAGTCATCATTATCAATTTCTGACAAAAGAACTTAGGTGAACATTATGAGGAGAAATCAGCAACACTGGGAAAAATAGTATTATAGCTTCCCAGGCAACTACAATATGACTAAAACTGAAATAAACTCTTGGAAATACCTAATGGATAAAATATGGGGTCATCCTTGTAAAACTTGATTTCATATGAAATCAAAGTTACTGTCTGATATGAATTATGATTAACATCGCTTTGCCTATGCCTCATACTTTGGGAAGACCTTGTTCTGCATCAAAGAAGACATATTAAACTAGGGCACATTTGTCTGTACGCAAAAACATAAAACTCTGAATAATTTCAACAGAGGCTCTGGTATTCCTTTGAAGGAAAGGAAGTGAAGATATTGCTATAATTATTCAAAAAGTGTCAGGAAGTGATGCATACTCCTTTCTAATTTATTACATTTTTATATTAACTTGCTTATATTTTAAGAGGAAAAAAAAGTATTAAAATTCTGAGTATTTTGTATCCGTGCAGTATGCAGTGTGCAGTGCTCCCAATCCCCTTTTTGATAAAGCTGATAACGATATAACATCAGATTTAAAAAGTCTCACACAGAAAGATACCTGAGTATATTTCAAAAATTGGTAGGGATCAGGAAGCTAATGGGACAGACTACTTTAATAGGAAGGTAATGGGACAGACTACTGACATTTGCTCTATATATCAAATTCTATGCTTGTGAGCATTGAAGATAGTTTGAGAAGTACGAACAGGTTGGGGATTGCAAGAAAGCTCACCTGTAGTCTTCGAATCTGGACATCAGAGAAATTCCTAACACCGTCAACTAAAGGAACCAACCGTGAATAGAGTGCCTTAAAGAACAAAGCATGTAATTAAGGAGATATCGGCACACAATATATCTCAGCTGAACTGACTATTCACAAAGCACACTAGAAGAAGAAGTCATTAATTGCATCAAATTACCTGATCGGACTGTGTAGACTCATGGAAGATGCGGGCATCAATAGCGGCAGCAACCAAGTTATTGGCAGCAGTAATAGCATGGATGTCACCCGTGAGATGGAGATTAAACTGCAGGGAAAAAGAAAGCACGCAAAATATCCCAACCATTATCTCAAACCTTTGACTAAATCTAATTAAGTCCCCAGATCAAGACTACAAGATTCAGTGCAAGATTCAGTGGCAGAGGGTAGTTCTCTGATATGTGAATGCCTTCTCAGAGAAAAAGAGAGGCCTTCTTCTACATTTTTTTTTTTTGGTAGAACTTTCTGAAGGGAGAAAAATAAATTTCTCCCCATCCACTGAACAATTTTTCCACCCTAGCATGATATCCAACCTCCAAGTTGCTTCTAAGTTACTGAAATGTATTCATTCATTCACTCATTCTTTCAATTTCTATAGCTACCCATTTCAATCAATGAATCTGAGCAGCTTACAATTAAAAAGAATATTACAATTAAGACACTAAACATTTTCAAATTATAAAATACAATTAAATTGTTGCCACCAAAACTTATGTCAACCTCTCAAGAAACTGGCAGGGAATTCTTGTGTTTGTTATTGAAGATACCTGGAGTTTGATTAGATAAAGCATGAAGAGAATTTGTTATAAATTTAATTGATTATTTCATTCAAAGAGGAAAATATGTTTTCATTTGGATACCACTTCTGGAATTGTGCTTGTGAAGAAAAAAAATATGAAACTTTGACTTTGGTTTTGTTGATTAGAAAGATTTGATGTTATAGGACTGGCTAGTTATATATTAATGTGTAAAAGCAAAAAGTTGAGGTTGAAATGTGTTTATCTTGTACTGTGCTAAGAAGAGTTGGAAGTCAATGCCCCTTTTCTCCCCCCACTTTCCCCTTGTATCCCACACCTTCCTTTTCCCACTCCCTTTCGTTCCCTTAATTTCCTATCATATTCTTCTCTTCTTTGTATTTTATATAATTAAAACATAAAACATATTTTTGAAAAAAAAAAAAGAGAGAAAATTTGTTATAAACCTGGTTTCTCTACCCTAAACCAGCAGGTATGCCAAGGCTTCTTTTATTGTCATGGCTAGGAGGCATTCACAACAATTTAGCTTTTCCCCCCTCATCAATTTTCCCAGAGTTGTCCTCAAGTTATGGTCAAAGAAGTTTAGAAGATGATTGTTATGGTGTCGTTGAAGCGTCTCCTAAAGTACATAAAAATAGGCAGAGAACTTCAATCACACCATGATGGCTACTATCTTGACCACACTCTGCAGATACTCCCTGAATCTGCCTAATTTTCTAAGCCAGGTGCCTTGTGGCAGCCAATTCTATAAGTGTGTTTCAATGTACAAAGAATTACCGTATATACTCGAGTATAAGCCGAGTTTTTCAGCCCATTTTTTGTGCTGAAACCCCCCCCCCCCCGGCTTATACTCGAGTCAGATTCCCCTCTGAAAAAAAAATGGTGTGAAGCTCCGGAGCTGGGCAGCCGCTTCCGTGTTTCCTTTGCAACTTTTAAGCATGGGGGTAATCGGAAGCAGAAAAGTTCTTGCATCAGGATATATTGTTTTTTCTTTTTTTAACTGTTTTTTTTGGGGGGAAAGACCCACCGCCATGTGAGAATGCTCAGACA